CCCTTATATGAGAGATTCAATATCGAGAGCTGAATGTCGTAAACGAAATACCCGTTTGAAAAACACAGCGCGAAGTAAGACATCTCTGAATACGAGTCCATCATATCTAAGGCGAGTCTCGGCTCTAAAAACAGACTTTCATTCAAAACAAACCATTCAATCGATTAGTGATTTAGTCACCGTTTGAAAAACACAGCGCGAAGTAAGACATCTCTGAATACGAGTCCATCATATCTAAGGCGAGTCTCGGCTCTAAAAACAGACTTTCATTCAAAACAAACCATTCAATCGATTAGTGGTTTAGTCGTCAAAAGACACAACACTTGCGCTAAAAGTCCCCAAAAGGCGGACACAAGAGAGTGTGTGAACGACACCATATGATTCCTCCACTTCCAGAACAGGTACTCATCGGTGATCACACTTTGCGGCCCGTATTGCAAGTGCTTCAGCAACGAGTTGTAGACACTCAGACATATGCATGTCATGCCAGCCATGTATATACCCTGATGTTTGTCTGTATCAACCCATCCATACATTGTCTCAAATCAATGAATCAATTAATCAAACAATTTATAAGTTTCTGTCGTTTTGTTTGAATTTCAAAACTTTTTAACAGTTGTTTGAAATGTATTTTCTATTCTCTATTCCCCTATAAGTGATGTCTTTCGTCGAGACTTAAACCCATTGTATTGTTGTGTGAATACAAACAATGCATTCAATTTGAATCCATAGAAACTAAATTCAAATCAAATTTAATCAAAGTTTTACTGTTAATCATTAAAATAAATGACAAAAAAAGTTACAATTAATAAACAGAAATAGTGAACGCAATACAAGTGCTGACTTCTCGTTACTCTCTATAACACTATTCAAGTAAAAGCTCTCACTTTTCATACATTCAATTGTAATTAAAAGTTCAATTTTCAATACAATTAACTGTGAGTTTAACCAAACAAATAATTAATACAATTGACACAATATTAGACAATAACTACATTTAAAAACAGTCTTACGTAACAGACATACAATAGTAGGGGAGTTGTGGGGAAAGGGGGCGGGGGTTGGGGTACCGTAGTTGGGGTCCAATGTGTTGATAACGTAACGAATATAAGGGGAGTGAAGGGGGAGTAGAGGGGGTCTAACTGTATGAACGTGTGATAAAGCTCTAGTGGTTTGTGTTGACACGTGTTTGTTGTGATCACTTCTTCAGCGCCTGACTGACCACCGATTGTCTGCAATGTCTTCCGATTTACGTATATTAGTGTCAAATAAGATCTCACGCGTCGACCAATCGCTGGACTACTGGTGCGAAATACCTCTGCGGACGAAGACTATCGCCGACTTGAAGGCAGTGTTGGCCGCAAACGATCGGTTGTCCGCCAAAGACGTGGATCTCTTCCTAAGAGGCGGTCGTCTCAGAGATGAGACCAATATATGTATCGTAAGAGACGAAGACGTGATCGCCATTCAGCCGAAGACCACTCCTGTCTCGGATCAGCGCTCATCTCTTTGCCATCAATTGAACACTTCGTCCGCTTCGGTGTAAGTCATCCATTGTCTCATCACTTGATCCTAATGTTTGTCCTTTCGGTTGACCACTAGTGGCACCAATACTGCCGAGTCTTTCCCTCCGGAAGTGATGATAACATATATACAAGAGTTTTCTGTCGACGAAATGGACACTTCTTCTGCTTCTTCTACTTCTTCGTCGACTACTTTGGTCTCAACGCCGAAGTCAGTGAAGAGACGCTCAAAGAGACGGGTTTTCGGCTCAAAGGGTCGCAAGACTTACAGATGTAATGAAGAGAATTGCGACCGAAGTTATTACACGCGAAACAATCTCTTGAGACACATCCGACTCAATCATAGTTTAAGTCTTGTGTCTTACCACAGGTTTAATCATAATTAATATTTAATTAAAAGTTTGTCAACTAATAAGTGATGTCTTTCACCGAGACTTAAATTAATTGTTTTGTGGAACTATTACTAAATCAATTGATTTCATTGACGGCACCGAAGAGTTTCAAATGCAAATAAAATAGATTTTGTTTTTATTAACATAAGTGAAAAGTAATATAAAATGTTATGCAATATAATAAAGAAATTTATAATTGAATAAAATTATAAACAAAACATGACATAAAAATGTTTGTAAATCTATGACATATCATCTCTAATGACATACAATATATTGATGTCGTTTTGATAGCGCTGTTGAATATATTTGCGTCTAATCTTGAGAGAAGTGGTCACTAAACCTGATTCCGGCGACCAATCGTCTGAACACAACTTAATTTTGGTCGGAATTTCTCGTTTGTTTAGTTTCGCGTGTTTTGCCTCCCGTTTGATGGCATCGAAAACCAATTTATAAATTTTATAGTCGTTACACAACTCCT